ATGTTTAATCGGAGAGCCGGGTTCCAAATCCACGCGTTTATTCTCTCCACCCCAGTTAATTTCTTCCAAGGATGGATAAACCGTAAAAAATCGAATCAATCAATGAATTATCATTATTATTTAGAAATTCTTCCAAAGTAAATTTTTAGGGTGAGCAGGTGATCAAACATCTATGTCTTTTGTGTATTGCTTGTAAAAACATGTTTGTTTGGTGTCGAAGCAGAATATGCAAAAAGCAAATGAGTAAACGACTTTCTTTGTTGTCGAATCAAAACTTTAACAAAAGAACGTCAATTGCATTTTGTGTCCGAGCAAGTTGTTTTATACGATTGGCTTTAAAGCGAGATCAACTGTATGTGGAGCGATGGGCAAACACAGGCAAGTTGACCTCAGTGAAATATGGTTAGCAATGCATTTCCATATCAAAAGCTACACTGATTCGTTGCCAATAAAATAAAACGAAAAGAATATATACGTAAGGAAAGGAAAAAAAAATATATATATAAACGTTGGGGAGGACAAAAGGGCGAATTAGAGATAGGTGTTTGGATAAAAAAAAAAGATTCTTTTCTTACGAGTTTTGGCGATCGTTTTTCGTGTTTTTTTTTTTCTCTTTGAAACAGAATAAAATGCATTTACTGAGGCAAAGTTTGATTGTTTCTTTTCATTTACGTATGTGCGCAGAAAAGCGAAAGAAATGAAAAAATAAAGACGCGAAAGAAATTAAAAGAAGAATTAAACACATCTCGGCAACATGTGTCATGTTAATCTAAAAGTTATACAAGGAAATTATTTCATTTAAATGCTGGCATCTATCTATCTATCTATCTATCTATCTATCTATCTATCTATCTATCTGAATGTATTCATTATCTATCTATCTATCTATCTATCTATCTGAATGTATTCATTATCTATCTATCTATCTATCTATCTATCTATCTATCTGAATGTATTCATTATCTATCTATCTATCTATCTATCTATCTGAATGTATTCATTATCTATCTATCTATCTATCTATCTATCTATATATATATATATATATATATATATATATATATATATATATCAAAAGACTGCGTTTCATTTTTTTATCTAATACGGTCTGTCGGCATGCACACATACATACACACACACGCACATATACATATATATATATGCAGCAAATATTCTATAGCTCTGCCTTTCTCTCTCTCTCTCTCTATATATATATATGTATATATATATCAGTCAGTTCATATCTATATATCTATATGAAATTGTACTTTTCTATTTATCAACTAATACAGACTTTTCACATGTAGACACACAGAAACATATATATATATATATATATATATATATATATATATATATATATATATAATCTGTTTTACTTTCAACCTATAAAAATCAATCTATCTACATATCTATTTCTATCTTTTCACGCTTCAATCACTCTCTCTCTCTCTCTCTCTCTATATATATATATATATATATATATATATATATATATATATATATATATATATATATATGAAGCCTAGATTTTTTCCTATCACAATATATTCTATATATATATATATATATATATATATATATATATATATATATATATATATATATCTTTCTCTCTCACTATATTTGTTTCAATCTTTTTGTACTTCGATCTCTCTGTCTCTGTCTCTGTCTCTCTATCTGTATGTATCTTTCTCTCTCACTCTCGCTCTCTTTATATATATATATATATATATATATATATGAAGCCTGGAGATTTTTCCTATCAAAATGCTATTCATTTCTATCTATCTATCTATCTATCTATCTATCTATCTATCTATCTATTACTGTTTCTATCTATCTGCTTTTCTTTGGCCGTAATCTTCTCAGATATATTTATCTTTTTTATTTACGTATAACTTTCTTACTACTGACAATGTTATTTTAGATTGTTAGACGTATTGTTATTTTTTTATTTTCTTACATCACCTGCTTTTCACATATAATCTTGATGTTTGTTTCTTTTCAGATTTAAATAAGGCAACAACACTGGAAGCTTTACTGCATTTTTCCGTGCTTATTGTTGCTTCTACTTCATGATAGCTTATTCTGCATGCACTTGCTTATACATGCATGTTTTTTTTTCTTTCCGTTTAGTTGCATATATATCATAGAGAACAACGAAGCTTGAAAATACACAAAGTCCAAAATTGAAGGAACTACCAGTGACCACAGAATCCCTTCCAACAACAAAATCATGAAATACATAATCCTACCATCCAACACTCTAAAGAAAAAAAAATGAATTAATTATACCAAACACGAAGATCTTTACCGTCACCACCAAAACAACTGAAGATTCATGACAAAACACCTATAATGTAGGAAGAGTTACATTGGTGAAACGTATCGGTATAAAGGTGTTGAAGGATAAATTGTAGTCAAATTTACGCACAAAATGAAAATAACACTGAAATCATATTTTAACAGATATATTTACCAAAATGACAGAAAATTATCTTGAAATACTAAAGAGTAAATTTATTCAATATAATCGACATTGGCTTCAAACATGGACTCCAGAGGACATTGAAATCTCCTGCAACTCTTCTGGACGGCCTCCTTGTTTAAGTTGGTGAATGCTACCATAATCCTTGCCTTCAGTTAATCTTTGGTGTTACAAGGAGTTTTTGGTCTCCGCTCAACTGCGCCCCACACATAATAATCAAGTGTGCTACACACTGAGGAGTCAGGTGGCCAGATGTAAGGGGAGGGGCGGTCTCAGATATTGTATGATAGCCATGACTATGTTCTTCTGCTTGTGTAGCATGGCAGAGAGTCCTGTTGCCAGACATGGGGTCTAACATCTTCCAGAAAAGCACTACCTCCACAAGGAACATGATGTAGGCCTACGTGTTAAGTCTGAGATTATATGAGAAGATGTATAGCTTCGTCGTCACTAGTGATCCCCCAATCACCGAAAGCTAAGCAATATATTAAGAAACACGAAAATATCGTTAGAAACAAAGAAAATACTACTGAACTGTTATATCATATTGAGTCTCCCACATGGCGTTGAATGCTCCGACAGAAGAAGAAGAGTCTTGGAGGTACAGAAATGTGGTACTATAGAAGGATACTAAGGTTATCATGGACGGAACGTGTGAGCAACGATAAGGTTTTAGAGAAATTAAAACAAAAAGGAAACTTATACTGAAAATCTGAAAGTTTTAGGTAATATAAGGAGAAAATTGGTCTTGGGAAATTTGATTCTTCCAGGTTTGATTGATGGCAAGAAGAGTAAAGAAAAAAACAACGCATAACCTACCTATCCAGCCTGGGAAAATTTGATGACACAACAGGTTTTAGGAGAAATAACAAAAATATAAAGTTTATTAACCCTAGAACACTAAATGATGGGTATATAGTTCCAAGCGAAAATTTTCCTGTTTTTAATTACAATTTTCAGTACCTGATTTTATTATCTAAATAATATGTTTTTTCAGTACCTATTAATGTCAACTCAAAGTACAAAGTTTGAAGTACCTGCATGTAAAATATTTCAAATAAAGATTTATATTTAATTTTTTTTTTTTTTTTGATATTTTCAAAATCGGGTATGATATACCCATGGTTAGTAGTGGTGTAACTTTAATTGATGGTCAGTGTTCTAGGGTTAAGAGCTACGTAGAACATGAAATTGTTGAGAGCCAGGATCGCAAACGCCATGAAGGTATACGGAACAAAATACAAGTTTCTCTCTCTCTCCCTCTCTCTTTCTCTCTCTCTCTCTCTGTGTGTGCGTGCGTGTAAATATTAATGGCGGTTTCTTTTTGTAACTATTGTAGTTCGGGTGACAAGTTGATGAAGAAGGTAGCGAGAAGAATAAGGAAACATAATTCTTATGTCCCTTAATAAACTGCGTTCCTGATCGTGCTATATTTATAACGTTCTCAATATCAGAGATAGAGCGTAGGCCTTATATATATATATATATATATATATATATATATATATATATATATATATATATATATATATATCGGTCACTAGTGTGTTTTGTTAAAAAATAAATGCGATGAAATTCGCCTCATTCGTGCGCCGATAGCTTAGGGGTAGATTCTCCGACTGATGCCAAATCAGCCGGGTTTCGATCACGGCTGGAATCGGATGTCTAGTCACACTGATGACAGTCTGTCTGCGGATGATAATATATGCTCCTGAAAATTATTTTCCGTTGAGCACTATGTGGAGAAAACGCGAATATTCAAACAATGATACTACTGCTGCTAATGCAAGACTCTTCTATTGAACTGAGTCCTCTCGTTCACTGGTGTGTTTGTTTAAGAATAAATTCGCTTAAATTGTCCCCCTTCTGCTGTGCAACGATAGTTTAGGAGTAGATTCTCCGACTAATGCCAAAGCAGCCAGGTTTCGAAATGTTTCTAGCCACGCTGATGAGCTGTGTTACAACGAAACAGTTTGTCTATATATATATATATATATATATATATATATATATATATATATAAAAGTGAACATAGAAGTCAACAATTAGAGGCGACAGTCTGTTTCATTCTATATGCAATCGTCAGGCCACGAAGTGTAGACTTCTATGTTCCCCCTTTATATTTACACACGCTCTATCTCTGATATTGAGCACTTTATTCCATAAATATAGCACACCTTAAGACTATATTTCTTTTTATATATATATATATATATATATATATATATATATATATGCGACCCTTACAACTATCAACATATTAGCCTTCTACCTTTTTGAGAGAAACTTCGAGAGGCCCGAATCAATGATGAATTGGTAAGCATCTCTCATCGTCAGGCCTTTTTCAGCCAAGCGATATGGCTATCGTTCCTTGTTGTGTATGATACACCTAATTTACATAAGTGGAGTACCGACCATATAAATATGGGTTGGTACCGGAAGACGAGGGAAGCTTAAGCGACCTTTTTTTTTGCGTTTACACCGTTTCTTCTCCTGACCGGTGCTAGACATATTTGCTGTCTACCAAAGGACTATTTTTTCAACTTTTCTGACTGCCTTAATTTAGTTAAGTTTTTTGATTTAATTATACACCATTTTTCTAACGTGAATTTTTTTTGACTCTTTTGTTAAATTTGTCATTTTTTCGAACTTTCTTATTTTGACCTTTTGTTTTTTCCTTTTCATTTCCATTCCCTTTTAACCGTTACTTCTTTTGTTATTAATTATTTCTGTTTTGATTTTTATTTACGTGTTAAGTCTATTTTTTTTCAGTACCCACACCCCGGTGTTTTTCTATTTTTCGTTTCTCGTTTGACCTTTTTAATTTTTACGTGTTAATTATTTCTGTATTACCCGTTTAAAAAAAAAAAAAAAGTTTACGTGTTTATAATATTTGTTTTAATTTTTGTAATCTCTGTCCCTCCTCTTTTTTTAACGTTTTTTTTCTTTATTGGGTTGACCGTTTTTTAGCGGCAGCCATTTTGTAAATTGTAACATTTTTTTTTGTTTCGTACGTATTGCGTTTTCTCTTTTACGTTTATAACTATTAGTTTTATTGTGTAATTTGTTTCTTTCTTGTCTGTTGTTCTTTCTTCGTTTTTGTGAACCTTGTTCACATTTTCTCGTCTGTATATTTGTTTTGCGGTTTTTTTTTTTTTTTTTTTTTTTTTATCTGTTTACATTTGTGGTTATAATTTTTGCACACGTCCTTCTGTTTGTTTTTTTTTTGTCTGTTGATATTTGTTTAATTGTTGTCTTGCTGATAGGCCAAACTTTATTTTTACCCTCCTTTTATTTTTTTTTTTTCTCCTCCTCCGCCTATAAGGCGGTTCCCCCACCTGTATTTACCCTCCCCTCCCTTCTTATTATTTAAAATGGAGAAAAAAAGAAAAAAACCACCCTCCTTTTTGGCTATTAAAAAAAAAGCCCAAAAGGCTAAAAGAAAAAACACCTTTTCAACCCCACCAAAAAAGACCCCCCGGACAAAGACAGTTTGGAGGAGTTTCCAGCTCTTAATACCTCTTCCCCTAGCAATGTGGAAACTGTTGGGGAAAAAGTCAATGAAAATATTACTTCTACGGAAGCTATGAATGGCAACAACAAGGAATCAACTATGGAGGCCAATAATGGCCAAGATTCTGAAAAATCCAAAAATGAACCGCAAACTGAGCCTGAGGCCGGGGAATCGCCCTCTTGTTGGTCGTCCCCTCCTAAGTGCATTATCAATTTAGCGGAGTTCTTGGAGCGTGCCAAAAGTTACGCACACCTTGTTGTAGAAGGTGGACTTTTGGAAGTTTTGGAAGACCCCCAAGAATTGAAAAAAATTGACAAAAGAATAGTGTCGGTTTTCGTCGTGGACAAGCGTACGCGCAAAATTTGTCGCTCGACGAAAAACAGTGTTAAAAGCACTGGAATCCTTTGGGTTCAAGCCCCTTAGAATAGTTAAGGGTGCTAAATTTTTCATGTGGGACGTACTGTTGCCCACATCAGAAGATTGCGTCGCCGCGGCTAGCCGTGAGCTAATTAATAAAGAAATAATACTGCGTACAGAGTACGAAGGCCGACGTAAGACCAGGGTAACGGTATACGAGGTCCCTCCTCAGGTTATCGGGGAACATCTCGCGGCGTTCTTCTCTCAGTATGGCGAAATTCTGGGAGCTTCCTGTGATAGCCTGAGCGGGGGTGGAGCTTTGACATCATGTTGGACGAGAAAGCCTTCCGCTCCATCCCCAACTGTCTGGATGTTGGCGTCTTGAAATTACCGGTCATTGTGACGGGTCGAAGACCGGTATGCTGGAGTGTGGAGTGACTGGTCATCTCTCCTCCTCCTGCCCAGAGAAGAAGGCCTCTGGAAGTCAAGCGCCAGTTACCC